TTTTTTTTTTTTTGTCTTTTTGAGACAGGGTCTTGCTATGCAGTTCAGGCTGGCCTTGAGCTCACTTTGTAGCCCAGGCTGGACTCAACTCTCAAGGATCCTCCTGCCTCAGCCTCCCATGTGCTGGGATTACAGGTGCACCACTACGCCCAGCTTGGGAGCTGACCGAGAGTGCAGAGCACTGCAGTTGAAGCACCTGGGCCCTAGCAACGCTGGGTGCATTTAAGAAACCCGAGCAACTGGAAGTTTTAAAAGACAATAATGGAGACAGTTACGTCAGATATTTTGAAACAACCCTTGGCCACAGTGATTAATACCAAATGCAGCGTCAGCTTGAGTTGAAGGGTTAGTTTCTGGCCGGATATCCTGGTGCAAATACTTCTTGTGTAAACTTGTGGTGATCCTTTATCCAAGCTTGTGGTTTTGGCAGAGGTTTTGTGATAGTCACTATTAGGCTATTGTGCGTAAGAACCCTTCCTTCTTTGGTTTTGAGACAGGGTCTTGCTATGTAGTCCAGGCTGGCCTTGAAATCTTGGCAATCCTCCTGCCTCAGCCTCCTGAGTCCTGGGATTACAGGTGTGTGGCACCATGCCTGGCACACATGACAGACTTTAAAAATTTTACTTCAGCTGAGTGTGGTTACTATAGACAGCTAAATTAGGTAGAAATATTATACCAGACAGTCAGACAGGGGTAGGCCCTCCAGGGGAATCAGTGGAGATAAAAATAGATTACAGCTATGGTTGGAGGCGCATCCACTGAAGGCCAGGCCTCAAGATAAAGACATGACCAGGTCTCATGCCTCCCTGAAGGATAAGCAATATACTATAATTAATGTCACCTGGTTCAGTAAAGTTTAGATGGACATCTGTCAGTCACCCAGGTGGGTGCCCAGGACCTCCTGACTCATTTCTTCCAAAAAAGGTCCTGGTTCTTCCCATGTACACTTGCTTCATGACTTGCCTCCCCGTTGGATCATCGTTACCTAAGTGGTTCCACTTGTGATCTACTGGTTGGTCATAGCTTTGTCTCACCTTGTACTCACCTCGTGCTTTTGCACCCATCCCATGATTTTGCTCTATAAAACTTCCTCCAGAAAGTGGGGTCTGCAGCCACCCACTCGGGTCCCCTCCTGTCTCTCAAGAGCTGTCTCTCCCTCAATAAAATTTCCTGTCTTCACCTCCGCTGTTCCTTAGAATTCATTCTTTGATTATGGGGCACCAAACTCGGGTGTATCAGACCGAGGTCAGGGGTTACATTATTTCCCTTGTATCACTGACAGGTCGGATATCAGGGTAAACTACAGAGCGAGGCCCTGTCCCCCACTCCAGAACATTAGAAAAGAAAAACAAAAAGCCAAACTACTTCCTTACTTGTATGAAAATGATGGTCCACTTGCTGAGCAGAGGTTTTAAGAAGAGCATCAGGCCAAGTGTGAAGCCTATCATCCCAACACTCAGGAGGCTGAGGCAGGAGGGTTGCTGTGAGTTGGAAGCCACCCTGGGCTACACAGTGAAACTCTGCCTTAAAATAATAAAGAAAAGTAAAATAAAATAATAAATGAGCTTCGGAGAACTGGTGAAGGGCTCGGGTATAATCAGTGATGAATTTATTGAAAACTAAGAAAATGAAACCAAGCAAGCCACCCAACCAGGACTGAACCCTGGAAGGGCAGCCGCTGGGCGCCGGACACAGCTGTGGCCCTGCTCCTGGTCCCGTGGGCAGTGTCCACATAGCGTGGCAGTGCGAACCAGGTCACCAGCCAAGCCAGACTCACTTATGTGTGAGGTGTGTGGGGCGGGTTGGAGAGCGGAACCCGCACTTCCGACAGAAAGAGGACAGCAGGGACAGCCCTGCGGGGCACACGCCAGCAGCTTCCTATGCACAAGCTCAACGCAGGTGGCCTCGGCAGACACTGTGGGGTGGGCGGCCTCTGACTCAACCCTGACCCCACCACCTGCAGGCGGGTCAGGCCCCACAGCTGGCGGTGTCAAGATGGCAAAGGCAAACTCGAGTTGCCACTGTCACTTGTTTTTTCATTGGGGGTTCTGGGGGTTGAACCGGGGCCTCTGCACCGAGCTGTCCTCAGAGCTTCCAAACATTCTGAGATGGGAGTCTTTGAAAATTACCCAGGCTGGGCTTGAGCTTGTGATTCTCCTGCCTCAGCCTCCCAAGGAACTGGGGGATCACGAGTGTGTGCCACCACACCGAGTCAGCTCCCCTCCCACAGGCTGTCAACCAGGATTTCCAGTCCCCTCCTTGGCTTGAGTCCTTGCTAGGACAACTCACGGGACTCTGGGAAACACTTATGGGATTACTGTAAAGGACACAGGAAAGTGCAGAGCGGGGCACGGGACAAGCTCAACACACAGCTGGTGAGCCTCAGCAGCCGGGGGCGGTCAGATCTCTGTGCAAAAGTGGTTACTCAGGAGGGCGAGGCAAGAGGATCAAAATTGCAAGGCCAGCCTAGGGAACTTCCGAAGATGCCATCTCAAAATAAAACGTAAGTAGGACTGAGAATGCAGCTCAGTGGTAGAAGCCCGGGTTTCACTCCTAACCCGCGCGTGCGCGCACACACACAGCTGCCCCTGCCCCGGTGGGCCAGGCCACATCTGCACGTGCCCAACGGAAGCTCCCCTGTGGTGCACGGTGCCCTCCCTGCAGTTGGGGGCAGCCGCCCTGTACCTCTAACTGGAGCTTTCTGAGAAGGCTCACTGCTCCCGCCTGTCACACAGGGTGCCATCAGAGCTGAGCGGCCCGGGACAAGACAGAGAGGGAGGCAGAGCTGGGCCCGGGTCCCCAGATCTAGGGGCCCCCAGGCCACCTCTACTCTTCCCCCAGCAGCGCTCTCTGCCTGCGACCCCATGGCGCACCCTCCCGATGGCTGTGCCCGTGGACAGGGCTGAGTAGGAGACACAGTCACCCCGGGTGGGGCACCCCCAAGGGCTGTGTGGCTGGGGCAGCACGTGGCACCCCACGTGCACGGTGTTACCAGCACCTTCCTCACAGGTGGCTGGGAAGACGGAACCGATTCGCAGCCCACAGCTGGGGCCCGGCCCCGCTGGACTCCAGAGACAAATGCCAGCCCCCTGGGCTTCCAGTGTGCTGGGGCTGGGCCCTGCAGCCTGGCTGCGGCAGGGTTCTGCTGAGGGGAAGACGCCAGCGCAGGCCCCAGCCCATCACCTGCGGCCGGGACTGCCCAGGCTTGGAGAGCCGGCCAGGGTCAAGGGTTGGGGTGCTTAGGAACCAGTGATCAGAGGCACAGCAGCTGGACCCGACACCTGCCCTCCCCTGCTTCCCAAAGTCCCACAACCAGCCCAAGGACTGAGGCTGTGAGCGGCTGCCCAGCAAAGGAAGAGGGTTGCAGTGTAACCCCGAGGCGGCTTCCCTCTCACCCCGCCCAGGGCAGGAGGCGGGGTAGCTACTGCAGTCCCTGAGCCAGGAGTGGCCGGAGGCCCTTCCCTCCCATCTGCACCGGACCAGCCTGCAAGGTCCCAGCGACAGGGTGGTAAAGAGGCATCCGGGTAAGGGAGGCTGCCGGTTCAGCACCTTGGAGAGGGGACAGCCCTGAGCCCAGGGAGGGGCTGGAAGCTGCAGGCCTGTGCTAGGCCGCTAGCCTGGTGGGTTGGGGTGGGCGTGGGAGCTCTGGGGGGTGGGCGTGGGGTGAAGGGGGGCGGGGCAGCACCCTGGACTCAGCAGAGGCCACTGCTCCCAGGCTCCAGACCCACTTCAACAGGTCCCAGGGACAGGCCTCTGGCCACTCCCCAGCCCCACATGGGTCCCCTCCCAGGGCTGTCCAGGCCCAGCTCAGCCCCAAAGGCCCCTTCAGGGATGCCGGGTCCCAGAGTACCAGGCTGTGCGTGGCTGATCAGCCAGATGTAGGGCTGGTGGGTGACTGCTGTGGCTCTCCATGCCCAGGGTCCAGGGCTGGCCCAGTGTGAAAGCAGGAGGGCCCACGCTGACCCTCACACCGGACAGTGGCCAGCAGTGGCTCACGTGGCTCCTGCTGGGACCGGCAAAGGCCAGAGGACAGGACTGCGAGCTTTGTTATAAATACGTGTTTGCGGAGGGGACAGGGCAGACGGTGCTGTACAGAGCTGGTGTGGGCGCGGGCTGAACGCTGGCCACGGGACACGGAGTCCGCCCGGCAGGGCTGGCAGGCGGCACCCTGGGGCCTGTCACACATGGCCGGCCCGAGAGCCGGCAGGGGCCTGGTCCAGGCTGGGGGGCCCCACTCCCCCGACGCTCCCCGGTCCAGCCCGAGGTCTTGGACGGTGGCACGGTGGCACTGGGGCTCAGCTCGCATCGTTTAGGGCCTGGTGGGACAGAAGGGCAGTCAGGAGGATGCTCGGGCTCGTGTGGGGGCCGAGCCGGAAGTGGGTCGCCCCGGGTCCCAGCTCCTGGTCGGCAGCCACACACCTTTCGGGCGAACTCCGGCAGCACGAAGGCGGCGCGGTGCACTTCGGCGTTGTAGTACTTTAGCTGCCTTTGCTCCACCTGCGCCTGCGTGAGCTGCTGGACGGGCTCCCGGAAGTTGGTGCTCTGGGGGACCCAGGATGGGGTGGCATCAGGGCAGGGCTGTCCGTGCCCACCACGCCCTGCCCCCCCCCCCCCCCCGCAGCACCTAGCTCACCGGGTTCTTGCTGCACAGCATGAAGCCGATCTGGCCGCTGGGGTAGGTGGGGATGGTGCAGTAGGCGTAGCCCACCACGGGGAAGAGGGACCTGCAGAACTGCCGCATGGACTTGATGAGGTCCAGGTGCAGCCACTGGCACTCTCCTGGGGAAGGGGGCGTTCGTGAGCCGCAGCTGCCGGGCCTGCGCCGCTCACCCGCTCGCCTGCCTCCCCCAGCCGGTGCTCACCCTGGCAGCAGAGGATGCCGTCCTCCTTCAGCGCCGTCTTCATGAGCTGGTAATAGGACTCCTTGAAGAGGCTCTCAGCAGGGCCTTCAGGGAGGGGAAGATGAACACGCCTGGCTGGGACCTCAGGGGCCACTGTTACCCCCTACACAGACTCACACAGCTGCCAAGGCCCCAGGTGCAGGGGCCCCACATCCAATCCCGCCTCTGGGAGACCCCCCGGCACCACTGCAGAGGAGCCTCGCCTCCACCCCCAGGCATCGGTTCAAGATGCGAACCATCCCTGCTGAGGCGAGCAGAGGGGAAGAGGACACTGAGGTTCCAAGTGTCACGACCAGACCGTGCTCCTCCTCGGGTACCTAAGTGTTTTTTTTTTAAGCTGTTTCAAGACAGGTTCTAGTTCTGTAACCCAGGCTGGCCTCAAACTCATGGCAATCCACCTGCCTCAGCCTCCCGGAGAGGAGGGATTACAGGTGGGCACCACCATGCCTGACTCCAATTTGTGAACTTAGGGCAGTGACCTGGTATCTTCCCTCCTGTCCTGAGCCTTGCTGGAGGGGTGACGGCTCTAGGTTTGGGGCGCCCTCCATCCTCCACTCCAGACAGCAGGCCGAGGGAGGCTGGCAGCCACTCAGCCCTTGCTCACCCATGGGGTCTGAGGAGTCAGTGATGATGACGTCAAAGGCATCCTGGTTCTGTTTCATGAACTCAAAGCCATCCCCCACGTGCAAGGTCAGCTTTGGGCTAGAGTAGCCAACGGCCATGCCTGGCAGGAACTTCTTAGAGACTTGGATGACATCCTGGGGAGGGGACAGGAGGGATAAGGCTGGGCTGTGAGGGCTGGGGTCCCTTCAGGGGCCTGTGTCCTCTCCACTCTTCCCAGGGCAGTGGGGATGGAACCCAGGCCTTGTGCAGGCCGGGCAAGCGCTCCACCCTTTTAATTCTGAGCCGGTGTTGGAAGTCGCCATGAACTTAATATCCCCCTGGGTCACAGGTGTGCACCACTGCACCCTGCTCCGCCCTGCCTCTTCCTCATTTGCTGCTCCTCTCCAGCCTTATAGGGTCACCTTGTGATGTCCCCAAATGTAGACCATTATCTCCAAGGGCAGAACATGAGCTGTCAGCCACCATAACCCCCAGCACCGTGACCTACACCCGACACAGTAAACACTCACTAAAATTGTTTAGGTTAAGATGGGTGCGGTGGCGCACGCCTGTAATTCCAACTCTCTTGGAGGCTGAGGCAGGATTACAAAATTTGAGCCCAGCCTAGATAACTTCGTGATTTAATGAGACCCTGTCTCAAAAAATAAAAAGGTCTAGGGATACAGCTTAGGGGGAGGCCCTGGGTTTAACACCCACTACTGGGAAAAAAAATCCATCTATCACACCTTAGTGTAATGGTTAGTTGGAAACAGCCCTAAGCCCTGCCTGGGGCTTACATTAGAAGCGTTTTTTCTTACTAAGGACTAACACCCATGTGCACTACATGCTGGGCCTTCTACCACCTTGTTTTCTTACTCAATACTCCCAATTGTTTTTTCTTCGAAAAGCTGGGGACTGATCACAGGGTCTTGGTGCTGAGCTACCTTCCCAGCCACTCCTCTATTCCCCTTTTTGAAGTTTTGAGGCAAGATCTCAATAAGTTGTTGAACTGTCCAAATTGGGTTTGAATTTTTGATCCTCCTGCCCCAGTCCGGAAGCGTGCTGGGATCATAGGCCTGTGCCACCTCACTGGGCTTTAGCTCTGGTTTTTGAGTGAAGCAGACGCCCAGGACAGTCGAGCATCTCGCCGAGGGTGCATGGGCAGGGCTGGGCTGGGCAACTCACCCCAGCCCTTGGGAGTCGCGCAGGCCTGGCACTTACCTCATCGATCTCGCACTGGACTACAGACTCCACCGAGGGGTGCTTCACCACCTCGCGCAGGACGCCCCCATCTCCGCCTCCGATGATCAGCACCTGGGGTGGGGACAGTCGGGAGCGGGTGTGTGTGTGGCGGGCGGATCCACGGCTACGGAGCCTTCCGGAGCAACGCTGTCGCCCAGCCCCGGCCTCAGGCCCCTTCCTCCGTTCTCTTCACTCGGAACAGACCTGGCCTAGGGTTCCCTCTTCCTAGGAGCCCCTCCGAGGGCGGCTGGGCTTCAGGCCTGGCCTAGGAGAGCCTCTCAGCCCCCCTGGTTGGGACGGCTGCCCCAGGGATGCCCCCAAGTGCCTGCCAGCTGCAGCAGCGCCCAGGCCGAGCCCGGCGGGCGCGGTACCTTGCGGGGGTCGGGGTGGCTGCACAGCGGCAGGTTGGCGATCATCTCTTGGTAGGAGAACTCGTCCCGCTCCGTGCACTGGATGACGCCATCCAGCACCAGCACGTTGCCGTAGGTCTTGCTGCGGGGTGACAGGCGGGGACCTGGGTCCTCCGGGGTGGGGGACACGCCCCGCCCCGCCCGGGGTCCCAGGGGTGGGGAGCGAGGGTGACACGTGGCGGGGCCGGGTGGGGCCCGGGGTCTCGGCTGACGTGTCCGGGGCTGACACGTGGAGCGCGGCGCACGCCGCGGCCC